AAACCTGCCGCAAAGATAGAACCAGATTACAAGGGATAAACCAATCCAGCAAGGCTTTTGTTTAAATCCCATAATGGAGTCTCTGCCTTTGCTTCCTCGTAGGTAAATATGTAACTTTATCGGTAAATCTTACAGGGAACCCCACTGTTGACTAGCTTGGGGTGCTGAAGGGACAGTGCTGGGGATTTAATTGGCGAGTACAGCTTCTTCCCATCTAAACAGGGATACTGCTCCTCCAGAGTCACCTGAACGGCACCACGCGTGCAAATGACAGTCCCAGGGGAGAGTTTCACATGACTCATCATTAGTTGTTTGCACTGTTGCAGTAATGATCAAGAGGATTTAACCTGATAGTGTGAATTACTGCCCTGTGGCACCCTAACGCTTCAGCCTCACTGAGTGATTGGCTCAGTTAGCACAAGTCTCTGATGGAAAGCACAATCAATAAATCTTTGTTGGTAAATAATTGCTATTGAGCAGAGTTTTAATATAAATTTATGAGCAGCGTTTTATCATTGCTGGTGGGTAAAGTACGTTGCTGAGTGATAGATTTTCAAATATTGGTTACATTTGTTATATATACAAGAATTTAATATAAAGTGTTTTCTGCATTATTTAAGTATTGTGGACTTAACAGTTCAGTCTCTGCCTTTTCCTCACGGGTCTAATAACAGGAATTGTAAATCCACGGCCAACCTAGAAACTGATGAATATACTTTGCACTTTGTGTCAGCGTATCCACTTACAGCAGAATTAGACATTGAACTTCCCAGAAAAGGGAGAAACTTTGGATTGATCCGAATCATACAAGGGAAAGCGAAAGTCAAACTTTCAGATGTATTCCTGCTTCCTGTTTTCTCACCTACTTTTGCAAATCTTCCAAGTATTCTTGCTTCCAAAACAATACTACTCCTTCTAACTTGTTTTCCCCTTCATGTTCAGGGGAAGTAAAATGTTTAAGATGTTTCCAACATTCTGGTGGCAATATTTCATTGCTATCTTCTTTATTTTTTTTCTTGTGCCATTTTTAACCTTAATCCTATGGATATAAAATTCAAAGCTCAGCTCTTGGTTAAACAAATCACTTGACATGGAACTTACTTTGTGTAACCCAAACAGCATATCATTTCTGCCAGTTTTAGCCACTGGGGAGCTCAGGCTTTGTGTTAATGCAGAGTTGGTTATTCCTGTTTCCTAAGTATTTATTTCATGCTAATTTGCTTTTGACTAGGCTAGAACTGTATTAATCCTGCTGTGCCACACAATTGACCCCTGCAACCCTCAGGCAGAATGCCATGTATTGGGGAACTGCACAGAAGCATGCTACCTCAGGACAAGTAGGCAAGATAGCCATCAGATTACACAAGGCAAGGCATGACTGTATACTTCCTCTGATAAAGCCTGTGGGATGGCCTTAATAAAGAAGATCTGTAGGATGATACTTTTGAAGTGTTCCTGTACCTTGGTGATAAGAATCAGTTTATCTTTTTCTATCGTTATCACTGGTGCTATTGGAGAGCCCATTTCTGTTGGCCTTGTAGAGAGGGGAGCAATAGGTTCATTCAAAGGTGCTTATTCTGACATAACAAAATTGTTTATGCTTACACTGGTGAAGGGGTTACTGCAGGCAACATCCATCATTTTGAAGAAGTGGCGTGTCGATTTTGTCATTACTTACTGGATGTGCTGCTACTTCTAAAGTCTCTTTTAGATGTAGTTAGATTTAATTTGCTGCTGCAGGGCTGCAAAATAATGTGTTATAAGAGTTATACATAGCAAATTTTTAAAAATTCTTGTTTAAATTTTCATTATACCTCCTTGCCGACCACCAGGATACATGGGCTATTTTTAATTGGTGATGATGTACCTTTTGCTGTTTCACTGTGCAAAAGCAAAAATACCAAAAATGCTGAAAGTCTGACAGTGTCTTAATTGCGCATAGAACTGTGTGTTGTTGGCTAGTCCATCGTGTATTTCCTATCTCTTGAGGCAGTGGTGGTGAGCTGTCGTCTTGAACAGCCCAAAAGCAGAAAATGCTGGAAAGCCTTAACTTGTCAGGCAGCCTCCATGGAGATAGAAAGACAGGTAATCTTTCATAGATAACAAGGTGT